CAATAAAAGATGTCGTTCATCAAATTCGGTAAGTTATAAGTAATTATAAAGCTACTGTATTTTTTAAGTAATTATTGACATTTTTGAACCCATTTTGGCAAAACCTATTCAAGAATCTACTTTCTGACAATGTTCAACCATGCACATTTTTTTACGTTTTAAACGTTTTAATTTGGTTACATATTTACCTAGAAATCAAAAAATATACTAATCAATATTCGACTGTATTTCACCAAACATCAGATGGCATCCGAAGCTGGAAATCGAAGCGAAAATTTTGAAACCCTTATGTATATTTACATCATTATATATTTCTTACCCCACCCCCACATGATCCTATATCCATCACCAATTGTATACACATCGAATTGTGCTAATTTACTACAAAGTTACGCAAAGCAGCATCTACTATCTAAAATATGTACTGCGTGTCTCTTAATACGTCCCTGCCGAATGTTACAGCGTTCGATGATCACGTGGTCTTGTTTATGTCCGGTCTATCTCTTATCTGAATATACTGTAGAATACCACAGACACGTTGAAGGCAAGACCGATCACGTACATACGTTGAAGGGATAGACAGTCCAATCGGTTACCGACAAACATGAGTGCAAACATTTAAAGCAAAATAGGATTACGCATATGGTCAACAAACTATGAGGTTCAATGAACAAACAAAAACAAACAAAACGTCATTACATGTATGAGAATAAAATGTTAGTAGTTCAGCAACACTTATACAAGGTGTGTGATTTGGAGAAAGTAATAGTGTAACTATGAATAGCGGCCACTGGTGTAATTAAAATCAATATAATATAGCCATTAAAATTAATATAGAATAGGCAGTGATTCATTACCAAGGTACAGAGTGGTTTGTCGTTTTGACTATATATTTGAGGCCTCATAGCTTTACAACCAATCTGTATATTCTATAAATCAATATTGTAAGCTGTCAAGCTCCAAACCTATAAGATTCCTTTTACGCCATGATCTACTACAAAAATGAAGTATACTCGAAAAGCATCAAAAATATATTTGCATACCAGAAATTCATTTACACATTTGAAAAAAGTTTAAAAAGCCCACCTTAATGAATCACCTTTTTATTTTGCATTAGCTCTCGATGTTGCACTTGATAATTTTAAAAATAGAAAATAATAATGGACACAGTCTAAGAATTTTCTTTGACCCAAATTAACCTTATATCTAGAATAAACACTGTTATGAGGTTATTCATAATCACCTCAGTGATACTGGACACTAAACGCGGTTAATACCCAGTATATTTATTGGATATTTTGTTGTTTGAAAACCTTTCATATGTTTCTCGTCGTTGCGCGTCGAAAAGTGATCGTCGGTAATATACAGAGAGGCCAATATATAACTGACCGATTTAAACTGCGCGCCATTGTTGATACACGTATTTCAGTAGGTGGCGCCTTAGTAGTTGTTCAAAGTACAAGTGTTCAATTGATCATGGAGCGCTACACGATCCCACAATGCGTCCATGTTGTTAAGACGTTTAACTTGTTGCAACGATTCGGAAGCTACGACCAGATTTCGGTCGAAATGATGCGCCCAGTGTCCACTCCATTCATCAGTTGGCGCGGACATTTGAACAGACTGGTGAATTTAAAGACTTGACAAGGTCGGAACATGTTTGAACTGTTTGTATTCTAGAAAATATCGAGAGAGTTCGTGAAAGTGTAGTGGAGCGCCCTGAGCCGTCTACCAGACATCGTTCTCACGAACTGGGCATTCGTCGCACGTCATTATGCACTATTTAAAAGAAGCTTGCATTTGAGGCCATACAAAATTCAGTTAAGCCAAGAACTACAGCCTAGTGACCATGAAAGTCGCAGACAATACAGTCATGCAATATTGCACCTTAATACCCAAAATATCGACAACTGATAATGAGCGATGAAGCCCACTTCGATATGAGCAGATTTGTTAATAAGCAGAATTGTCGTATATGGGCATTAGAGAACCTCGTGTCATCCATCAACGACGACTACATCCTCGTCGAGTCGCAGTTTAGTGCTGTGTTTGGTATGGAGGTGTCATTGGACCTTTCTTCTTTGAAGACGCTGCAGATAATTGGCCACCATGGTCACCGGATTTAACGGCTACTGACTTTTTTATGGGGATATTTGAAAAATAGGCTTTATGCTAACAACCAAATACTGTAGAGCAGCTGAAGAACAATATTATGGAAGCGACTGAAAATATTCCTCCAGAAACCTACCAAAAAGTGATGGAAAATTTAATCAAGGCGGACATTTGTCTGATATTATTTTTCATACATAATTTCTAAGTTTCAATAAAATATTAAGATGGAAAAATGGGCGTATTCTATTTCATTCCACAAATATTCAAGATACAAACCAGTCAGTTACATATCGGTTACCCTGTACTTATTCTTGGACATTAGCAAGAACGGTTTCATCGATTTTCAGAAAACCTGGTAGTGAATACTCGGGGCTGGTATGTAAATCCAGCAAAATGGATTTTCCACAAAGCGTGGATTTTGGTAATAGAAAGGGCACCTCTAGAGGTATAAGACTTACCTGGAAATTCAAAGATAATGCGTAGTATTTGATGAAGTGAACGTGCCCAGCATTTCAGAATACTTTTTAGGAAACACTTCCGATTATTTTTGAAGCGTACAGGCCATGTCCATTACTGGATATTTTCATTAATGAACATGTAATACCAAGAAGAATTTGACATTGAAAGAAAAAAGATTCGATGATCAATATCTAGCACAATATGCTTAGAAAAAGTATATCTTAATCAAAGTTTGAGGCATGCAACTTTTATATGTGATATGTACTTTTTCATGTCACCAGCAGACGTAACTTTAGGTTATGAATCCCGCACAATTTTTTTTTTTTTCATATTCCAAACTAATATTAGCAGTTTTTTCAAACATTTTTTTGTTGAAAGCGAATGTTGAGAAAAGGGATTAGACATTTTTAGCAATCGCAAATGGTGCATACTTAAACATTAAATTTTACATATATATATATATATATATATATATATATATATATATATATATATATATATATATATATATATATATAAGTTACAAGAATTCAATGGATTAGAGGTTACCGTTACATTTACGCATGCGATATTTGTGATTATCAAAACTCTCTAAAATGTGAAAAAAAATAAGACTCAAGATAATTATGTTTTGGGTCACTGTCAGGCTAATTGCACGTTAAGGTCACACATTTTGCCATGAGTGGTGAATGCGCATCCCTATGAGAGACACAAATTCATCAAAAAAAACATTTTTAACCCCCTTAATCATGTCTGGTATCTGGGTAGGCAGACCTGACAGACTAACAGACCGACGAGACTTTTAACTAAGAGCAAATGTCCACCGGACCGCTCTCACGAATAATGACGAATAGTACCATTTTCAATTCTGATATCCAAATTACCTTTATATTTGTCCATCTGCCCCCAATTTTGACTTCAGGTTTGTGTCAGAGGGAAAAAATACGTCCCCTGCAGTCACCACTTTTTATTTTTTTGTCTGCCTGTGGATAATTTTTATATGGTTGATTCAAAAGATGATTCGTGTTTAGTGTAAATAATTACATCTGAAGAAAATAGTCGGACCCCAAGAAAACACACTTTCATTTTGTATTCATGTGCTGTTTTTAGTGCTTACTGGGGTTTATCAAACATGCATGCTCCAAACCACTTGATACGAAAATAAGTATTTGTACGTACCGATTTGGCGACTGCTTATAATTGATTAATAAGATCTTGCGTACTAATTAGATTACATTTTTCACGTGTTAGAAGTTACAAGTATCCTATTATCCATTATACACCAGAATGGTGAATGTCCCAAGATATTCATATTGTGTAGTAGAAATGGTGAATGTGCATATGATCATTTAAAGCAGTTGTTACCAACATTTGCAGCGTGTTGAGCTACTTTGATAATTTTGTTGTATGCGACATACATGTGTTTATTTTACTAATACTAATACATACTAGTAAACTTGAATAAACTAATAACTAATACATAACTACATCCATTCCTACCAATCGTGTTTGAAAAATAAACAAAATGTTTCGTCAGATACAATGGCATATCATATACGATTTAAGAAAGGTAACTAAAAATAAAAAACAACGCACTATTTTAAACAAAACCATCTCCAGATAAAAAATGCATGTTCAATGAGAAGCCTAAGACACAGACTCACTGACATTTTTTTTTAATGTTTGGAGTATAATTCTATATCGCCATTGAAATAAAATTATCCAAATGTGTACCTGTCAGTTGATTACGGTTTTACTGTTTTTAATAAACCTCATATTTGAAAAAGAAGATTAACACAAATAGGTTGAACTAAATAACGCATTCACTTTCAAGGTAACACGACATAAATCTGAATATTCATCTTTACTTACTGAAGGCCAGATACATTCTGTATTTGGGACTAACGATTTGAAAGCTGAATTATTTTGAAACGTAATCTCTTCCATTTCTGTCGCAGCGATGTCTTCGCTAAACAAAAGTTGCAAGCTGTTAGATATCAATTTCCATGGAGGTTGAAACAACAAATTGCGGTACTATAGCATTTACGTTGAAATGAAACGATTATTGAAGTTATCCTTCAATCTAGAGACTATTTCTACATGATATTTACTGTCATATGGTTCTGATAGACCTTGAGATATCTTTTTCTGAAAGAATAGGAAAACGCCTGGTATCGCCAGCGATTAAGTTTTGTTCCCAAAACTCAAGCTTTTTGACAAACGATTTTATATCAGAAATCATTTCTGCTAGTTCTTTGTCTCTCTCCTGAAGCTGCAACTTAGGTTTATTTAATTTCTCTGTAATATCCACAAAAAAATAAAATCTCCAAGCCAGATAGAATTTTCCAGTACCGGATCGGTTCATCACGTTGTTTGAAAAATTGAACTATGGCAGATATCATTAAAACGTTTCAGCACTCGGCCCCTACTTAACCATCGGACTTCAGAGTGAAAAAGTAGTTCCCGTATGTCAAGTCAATTTCATCAGCCAAGGTTTTGAATAATCTTCTTTGTAACGCTTGAGCTCTAATCTAATTCACAATGTTCACTACCAATTTCACAGCGTTGTTTAGTTTTATAAAATGTCCACATAATGCTTGCTGATCGATAACGCAGTAGTAATAAATAGCGTAAAACTTTCATCTTTAGGACATAACCTCACGAGACTCTTATCACGACCCACCATAGCTGGAGCGCCATCGGTTATCACGCCTACCATTTTCGATATTGGAATTTTCTCAGAAGAAACAATATGTTTAAAAGAAGTAAACAAGATGCCCAGTAGTCTGTCCTTTTAGTGGAATAAACTTCAAAAGATCTTCTTTAATCGTAAAATCACTAAAAACCATCTTGACGAACACGTAAATCTCAAAGGGGTCGACGACATCATCTGTGGATTCATCCAGCTGCTGTGAAAAATAAGCACAGTTTTCTAAGTCATTTCTTAACTGTGAGACTATATCATTGCTCATTACTTCTACTCATCTCATCACTGTATTAGCAGAAAGTTGCATAGAGTTTAAAGCAGGCACTATCGCGCCTGTGTTTCAAGAAGGCAAATAATGAATCTGCAGCTTCTAAAAACGCCTGTTTTATCATTTCCCCAGTCTTCATAAGGTTCTTCTTTTGTGCAATTATCTGGGGCACCCGGTATGATGCTTCAGTTGCAGACTAACTTTTGTCGATTTTTTTTAAATACATTATCTGTTGTCCAATTGACTGATTTTTTAATTGTTTCAGTTTTTCCGTTCTGGTTGCAGAACGTAATGGGAATGATTTTTCAAAATTCAAATCTACTGTTTTATAGTGCCTCTCGATATTCCCTTTCTTAGCAACGCAAAACAGATGTTTTTTATACTCCAACTACCACGAAGGCCTAACGCCTAAATATCCATGGGTACCGCGCGGCTATAAAGGGATACATGGGAAGGGAGACCGAAGAGTCCACTAGTGCGGCCATCGCTGCTGCCTAAATGTATTACATAACAAACGCACATTTTTACCTTTAACTTCCGTAAAGAAATTTTGTTCCTCCCATTCCGAATGGAAATAGTATGACTACATCTCCTTACTACTGCTCATAATGTTTCTAATTTCAGGCCAACTCTAACCCAACCGCTGGACTTTATGCCGTTCAGTTTTAAACTAACCGCACTGTCGCCGCGCCTTGCGTATTTATTTCGTTCTAAGTAATCGAGATCGTTCTCGCACAGATCGCTCACCGCAGTATTGCCGCTGCCTGTGTCTATTATGAGAATTTACAAAATTTACGGAAGCTTCTATGATTTTTACGATTGTACGACGTTTTGGTCACCACGGTTGCCATTCTCAGGTACACTGGCAATTAATGACAATCGTGAGAGCCACCACTACAATTTTAAGATAGTACCGCTTATAACCAGAAAAGCCCGGAATCGCATGGGATAGGTATTTTTGTTCCAAAAGCACATCCAGCCCCCCAATGTGACATGCGAGTATGAAGCTATCTGTCGATTTTTCAATTTACCAGGCACCTCATCCTCACTCATCGACTCAAAAACGTTAAACGCTTTTCGGCAACGTGAAAACACACCCAGAACTATTGCCGCAACATACCTGTTAACTGTTATGTTATAAACATTATTACTATAAGAATAATCCATGCAAGTTTGGGTCACCCTGTGCCTGTGTTAGAATTGCAGTGTTAATGCTACGTCTAGGAAGGATGACGATAAGAATGTAAATAATATCAAACAGTCATCACGTATCGTGTACCAACCACACAATAAGCTAAAATAGAATAAGGTACAGATTACCCAACTATTGTTTGTTTATTGTTAGTAAGATCCTTTCTGAAAATTGCTAAATTGTCTTTTATTTTCATTTGTATTTCAAACTGTCTAACTTCTTTCCGAAGGCACTATGCATACAACTGTATTGATATCATGAAGCACATTGTGATTCTAAATTTTGAAACATCTTTGCTTAGTCAAAGGAACATTGTTAGCGTGGTTGTATTCTGCACTGAATTCCTTTCCGATTTAATGAACATCATCAATATGTAGTGGAATCCTTGCATACCCTGGAAGTCCGCTGCACAATATGGAACTCGACCTCCCTAGATGCAAGGGACATACATTATACAATGTCCCTGAAATGCACGGTTTTCCACTGTATTTCATTTGGAATCTATTCCCCGTATGCATTGGGTGACTATCTCTATCCATATTTAATTTACCTTGAAAGTTGTTGTTTCACAATGGTCGCGCTTTTTGCATAAAGTCATTGCTGCATCGATTGATTTAAGTTGGTCAATCCAATTTGTATGAAAGCTGACCTCTTACGTTTGCAATGTCGCACGTCGTGCGAGTGATAGCGTATGTCAGTAAGTGCCTACTCACTCTTTACTGATGATTATTATCATAGAGCTAATGGCATACACTTGAAGTCACACACTATCACAACCACCTGCTTTGCAGACGATAATGCTATTATTTTTTCGTATACCAGGATGATCTTAAGCAGAAATTTGAAAGAGGCTTATTAATTTTATACTCCTAGTAGTTCAGATATAAGCGCTCAACTATCGACTTCAAAAAACCATGTTTATGCCATCCACAAATCGTAGAAGCAAATTGCGATCCTTCTCGACCCAACGATGCGGACTATACAGGGTGTTCCTTAATGATATGGGACTATTTAAGGGTATGAATCTACATGAAAAATTCATGTTAGTTTGCTTTATAAACTATGGCCCAAAAATGTTTCCTTACAAAAACTCGGGGTGTTGAAGTTTTAGTAAAAAAATGGATATTAATTAATATTTTCAGAACCGCTCCAGATATTCCACTAATATTTAGTACGTAGTGAAAGTTAATGATGTTGCATATTTTTCAATGCAAAAATAACTTTTAGCTTTAACAGTGGCGTGCGTACGGGTATTGACTTCGATCTTTTTTAAGAAAAAAATGGTACGCCAATGGATTTCTGCCAAAAAAAAATTATTTCTCAATTCCTCCTTCAATTTAAAACAAATGATCTCTATTAAATTGTTTTCTTTCGATGCGCCATTTTTCAGTAAAAAAATAAAAAACCGTTCTATTGTCCGAGAAAATTAATGTAATAATTGAAGAATGCAATTTAGCAATAAATATCTAGTTATTCTGTAATATGTCACTGGCTTTTGACATCTGACAAGTCTCTGTTATTCAAATCTGTTCACTGTGACATCTTCTTCATTATTTTGTTTTTACAATCTTGTTAATAATGGTGAATTATTCAAATGCAGAAATGGCTGAAATGCATTATGTATATGGCCTTGCCGACGGTAATGGTGAGCAAGCCAGACGGATTTATCACCAGAGATATCCCGATCGTGCTTTGCCAGATAGTCGAACCTTTTCTAATATTCATCGTCGTCTTGTTGAAACTGGTTCTGTCCGAAAAGAAACATCTGAAGGTAGACCTCTAAGTGTGAGAACGCCTGAAATTAAGGAAGCAGTGCTGCACGAAGTCGACGAACATCCTGAAACCTGTACGAGGAAGATCGCTAGACGCTTAAATATTTGCCATCAAATTGTTTGGAGAATTTTAGTGGATCCCTTGTTATATCCTTACCATATTTTAAGAGTACATGCATTACTTCCCATTGATTTTCCAAGGCGTGTGACCTTTTGTCAGTGGTATCTTCAAAAAACGACTTGATGGACAGAATTTTCTTCAACAACAGTATCTGGTAGATGTATGATGGTACACCAGCGCATTTCAGTGTAGCGGTTCGTAATTATTTACAAACTGTTTATCCAAATCGTTGGATTGGCCTCGGTGGGCCCCAATAATGGCCACCAAGATCCCCCGGCCTCAACTGTGTAGACTTCTTTTTGTGAGGCTTTATAAACTAGTGTACACAAGTCCCATTAACAGTGTAGAGAAATTAAGAGAAAAAATAGTAGCAGCTTGTGATTCAAAAACACTCCAGGGATATTTCAACGAGTGCGCAACTCCAAGAGAAGGAGAGCGGAAGCATGCATACTAAGTGAAGGGGGCCATGTTCAACAATTTTTGTAATCATTTCGTTGGTTTTAATGTTATGTTTATGTTGTCAGTTGTTGTTGTTCATTACCCCTAATGTGTTTAATTTTTTCAATTAAATTAATAATAATTTTGCAACTTGGACACTAGAACGGTTTTTATTTTTTACTCAAAACTGGAGCATCAAAAGAAAACAATTCATGAGAAATCATTTGTTTTAAATTGAACAGGGAATTCAAAAATAATTTTTATTTGCAACAAACCATTGGCGTACCATTTTTTTCTTAAAAAATATTGAAGTCAATACCCGTACGCACGCCACTGTTAAAGCTAAAAGTTATTCTTGCATCATTAACTTTCACTACGTACTAAATATTAGTCGAATATCTGAAGCGGTTCTGAAAATATTAATTGATATCCATTTTTTTACTAAAACTTCAACACCCCGAATTTTTGTAAGGAAACATTTTTGGACCATAGTTTATAAAGCAAACTAACATTAATTTTTCATGTAGATTCACACCCTTAAATATTCGCATATCATTAAGGAACACCCTGTATAACTCCAAGAGAGGGAAGCAGAGTAAAGTAGAGCAGAGTGGAGTATAGTTCAGTCAGTGGCACGACAAGAATTAGTCAGACATAAATAGTGGCGTACATAAATGTTCTATCTAGTCAAGATAAATAAATTAGTGCCTTTCCTTTTGTGGAATCCAGTGTTTTAATCCACACCCAAAGCAACGCAGAAAAATTCGACAATATTTGAAGGAACAACGTTCTAACCGACAGATTGGTCAAAAGTGGGATTTCTATAAAACGAGGATCTATGTGTCCATTCGCATAACCTCCCCTTTTTCAAGGTGAGAATCACAAATTTAATCGGTGCCCCGTCTAAATGATTCAGCGAATCTTGATATCCACGTAACAACGTTGTATGTGCACGCGCCGACAGGTCTCAGCAAGTTTGTTTTCGAAACTATCACAGCCCACCTGGTTTCTGCAAGATAATCGTTAGTTTATCAGAGTCTATTATCAGTCATATAAACAGAGGTAAAAAACGAAAGCTAAAAATTGACACCTGAAAGCAGACTGTAAGGAAACATCAGAGGGATGCAGGAGAAGCTTACATTTCATCGAGAAGCGTACCTAAGGCTGCGTTAAGCCAGCCAGAAGAGGTAAGATTTATTAACAGTTAAAAGTGTCCACAGATGTTGCACACTATTATCCAATCTGTCGTAGTGTACAAAAAATATTGACCGTTTTCTGTGTAAGGTGTTTAATACACAATATGCAGGGTGGCCACCGACATATATTTTCACTCATGGCTTAGGCCTGTGACCATCCTGACAGTTTGGGATATCGTGTACTGTGTGCATTTTTTTTAGAAACGCATCTGCAAATGTCCTCAAACCCCCAGAGGATGAAACGCCGATTTGCTCATTGGAAGGCATGTCTGTTCCAGAAATTTAGAAAGCTTGATTATGATGGTCAGTCGCAATATCTGTCGCAAATCATATCCCTCCAAGAACCAAAACTTAGGAAAGTTGAGGAAAATATATCTGGTGGACATTACACTGTAAAGTACAGTATTAATGGCATTCAAGTATGTAGATGAACAGTTTGTTATATATTCTCAATTACGCCTAGAAGATTACAGTGGCTTACTGGTAAACTCAAAGCGAACATGAATAACCTTCAAGATCAACGTGGAAAGCATCTCAATCGTCCTAAAAAGTTGAAAAACACGGACGTAGGTCTTATTTCCGATTACACCCGATCTTTCCCCTACAGGAAAATCATTACAGCAGAAATACTTCAGCCAAACAATGCCCTCCAGCTGATCTAAATATCTCAAAAATGTTCAGACTTTTTAAGGAGAAATATCCTCATGCAAATAATATTTCCTTGAGGGTTTATCACGACATTTTTAAGAGCAAGTTCAATCTGCGATTTGGTCTACCAAGATCTGACACATGTTCGTATTCTGACAAGCTGTTTATGAAACTTTGTTCAACTGATGATGTTAATGGAAAGAAAAAAATAGAAATCGAGAGTGAGATCCGCCATATAAATGCTGAAGGGTTATAAAATATTGAAAGATGATATCGAGAGCTCTAAACTCAATCCCAATTATGTTGTGTTGTGCACAGATCTGCAATAAGTGCTTTTTTGTCCCAATTTAACACATTCATCTGTATTCTACCAAAGGCAATTCTCAACATATAACTATGCTGTTCATAATATGGGGGAGGAAAACGCAACAATGTTGCTATGGCATGAAGCAATGGCACACCAGGGATCTACAGAGATTGCTTCAGCACTACTATTCTATATTACTAACAAGTATAGTAGTCATCTCAAACCAGGTGAAGAAAGAAAACTAGTTGTACGGTCAGACGGGCGCATGGGCCAGAACAATAACTGGAAAATGCTGACAATGCTAAGACTTCAAGTTTTAGAACAGTTCTTTACGCAAGTCGAACAAAAATTTCTTACGAGCGGGCATAGCTTTTTGCCGTGTGATAGAGAGTTTGCTCTCATAGAACGACCTAAAAAATCTCCAAAGTATTTGTTCCCTCACAGTGGGCTGATGTTGTCGCTAAGTCGAAGGTATCCAATCCATTTAAAGTGATCTTCATGCATCAATCTTTTTTTAAGGATTTTCAGGCAGCGAAAACTGTTATATATAAAAATCCTTCATGTAAAATTACCCAAGTAATGTCAAAAACGAAAAAAAGGCCAACCTGATGGATATGTGCGACTATATCCCCTTAAAACATGTTAATTTTTATGAAAACCTGAAAGTTGTTTAAAACCATCAAAATGTTATCCATTTGTATCATGTTTCTTGTGGCACCAACTGTATTGGTTCACTGTATCTGAGTAAAAAAACTTTGACCCGTTAAGCGTAAATAAGGTTGTAAACGACTGGTTTCCGTGTAAAAATGTTGTAAGACATGTATATATATAACGTTGTTTTAGGGAATTTATTTTCTAAGGCTCTTAATTTGTTAAACATGGTTTATAAAAGATGTTATGTTTCTCAAATAAAATATCGATTAGTAAATAGCCTGTCTGTTTTCTTTTTTAAATTTGGGAGTAAAACAAGGAAGCGCGTTTTTTTTGTTTTTCTCAAAATTAAACTTTTGGCGGTTAGAACGTTGTTCCGGCATACCCTTCATTTATTGAGTGAATTAACTTTTATCTTACTAGCTGTTTTAAGCCTAAAATTACCTACCTACTAACAATTTTGTTGCTTGACAATTTAATATATTTCTGTCATTTTATTAACGGAAAAATCTTTCAAATCAATATTTTGTAAACAAACTATGTGAAGGTATGTCTAATGGGATTTAGACATATCAGCATAATACATTTGACTTTCAGAGGAGTCAAACGAGTGTAATTTATTTGGAACTGCCCCTTTTATCCTTTCTGTATCTCTTTGTGTCTGGGGCTTTCTCTTAGGTTTGGCTTTAGCGAAAAAGAAACTTGTTGGAACATTTTTCAATTTGCTATCTTCTCTCACTTTTTCTCACATTTATAGAGCAAAGTCGATCTTAAACCAAATCAGCAAACATTTGGCGGTGTCCCTGCATTTAGGATTCTGCCTGCGCGGCTGCTTAGGTATAAAAAAACTACATTTTGCGGTAGTATTGATAGCAAAACATGAATACTGTGATTTTGGGTTGAACATCAATGTTATTAAAACGGAATATCTTGTTGTTGGAGAGAAGCCCACTGATCTTTAGATGGGCAATGTAGTTATAAGATAAACCCACGAGTTCAAATATTTGGGAACCTATATAACATCTGACAGTTCAAGAAAAACAGATATACAAAGCAGGATTCTTCAGGGTAATATGGCAATACAGAGATTGAATTCCATTTTATGGTCTTCCAGAATTAGCATTAATACGAAAGTTCGACTATATCACAGTATCGTGGAGCCAATAACTACTTATGGGGCTGGAAGCTTACATCAAAAATAGAAAACCAGCTTAATGCAGTTGAAACGGACGTCCTGCGCCGTTCGTGTAGACTATCTAGGTTGGACCATATCCGAAACGATATGATCAGAGAAAGGACGTGTACACAAGATACCATTGTAAATAGAGTAGAAAGAAGACAACTAGTACGGTACGGCCATGTCATGAGGATGGCTGATGAAAGATGGCCTAAGAAGATGGTGTCTTATATCCCATCGAATAGAAGGAAGAGAGGTAGGCCAAAAACATCGTGGAGGAAAGGGATAGAAGAAGCCACGAGGAAAAGGGAAATGAATGAAGGAGATTGGGAAAACAGAAGAGAATGGCGATTGATGTGCGAGAAGTGGTAGCAGCCCTAGGACCCTCGATACATACATATATATGTATATATGTATATATATGTATATATATGTATATATATGTATATATATGTATATATATGTATATATATGTATATATATGTATATATATGTATATATATGTATATATACAGGGTGACTTTGAAGTTGAGTCATTAATTTTCAGATAATGATTGTAGAAGGAAGATAAACCAAAATATGTGTGTAAAAATTAAAAAAAAATAAAAAAAATGTTACCTTGTTTAATAAAGTATCCTCCCGACAAGTATTTCAGTGCGGACCTGTATTTGATCGTGCGGTCTTGGAGCAGCATGCCCTCACCTGTGAGGTCTTAAGTCACCTGATTCACGAGCCCTTTGCACTACATTAACAAAGGCACAAGGGGTTGGTTGCACTCGATTGGGAAACCGATTCGCATAAATCCGTGATGCATCCGGGAGCATTTCGTAAAGACTGCCCCCCCGTAAATAAGAATCATGTCCACAAGTTCAGCATTTTCGTAAACATGTGCCATTTTTGATTTCGTTTGAGCCACGCAACACACTACTATTCACTCACGTTTTATCGACTGACGAAAAACATCGTGATAAACGTTTCAAATTCTTTCGCTTTTTTGTTTCCGATGCGATGAACCGGTCAGGCGGATTATATCCGTTGTCGCCAAACACGAGCATATAATAGGCAGGGCGGTACTCAAACTTCCAAAGGACTATAACTTTGTTACTTTAATTTTACCAGAAAAATGGTAAAGGAAAAAAACATTTCTTTTGATCAGATCTACTCACTGTTAAAATAAATGACTCAACTTCGAAGTCACCCTGTATATGTATATATATATATGTATATATATGTAAGTTAAATTACTGATACCGAGATTGATGTTTTTAAAAAAAAACTTTATTTCCAAAATCGGTACAGAGTGACTTCTAAAGAAACCTTGTCACGTAGGTACGTAAAACAAGACGGTCAAACCAAAAGTGACGAGATTTCCTAACATATGAATCTAGCATGGTATACAAGAAATATGATATGATAAATAACACGATGTTAACATGAGAACTAGCAAGGCGCGAGATAACATTCTTGAGCGCCGCGTCATTGCTCGTGAGAAATCAAGTGCCTACTAAGTAAATTATAATTTTATATAATGTACAGGGTGAGCATGGACATAACTCCTCCCTCCTTAAACTCTTAGAACGTCCTCGTTCTTATCAGACTCAACTTCATTTTTCTTTTGAGATAATTTTTGCCTTTTACACAACGTGATTTTAATACAAGTATAATTAATATCGTAACGACTATCCCTATTATAAGAGAACTATTGACATGAGAATGATAGTTGTTAAACTTAACTGGTGCAACCTCTTTCATTTTATCTAAATTTTCCTTGATATCAAAAAAATCGTTACTAGTAATATGGAAAGTATCTATCGTGTGTGTTGGCTTTAATGTAAAGTCAGAAATATTGAAATCCAAGGGCTCTGTTGGAATAACAGTGCTATGAAGAACATATGATACATCATTTATAACCAGTGTGCAGTTACTACCTAAAATATAATTACCAATTAGATTAAAAGGCTTGATTTCGCCATCGCATTTTTCGAAAACAGTGATTCTGATGTTGCTAGAAAATAATACTGCCTCATCACTCTCGAGCAAATATGTTAAGCTTAAAAGTTTTTAGCCTGTACAATGCTACATTGATCAATTGATCGAGGCGTACATTTTTGATTAGTCGAAGTTTCACAAATAAATCGATTCATGGATCTTTTACATTGCTTAGGACAACTTTTAATCGATACATCGTTATACAAAAAATATTCATGTTGGAATAGTACTAACATGGTGTTACTGTTTAACAAGGGATATAACTTTGATAATTTATATTTGGTAGATTCCAAGATAGGTAACTCGACTGCGCATAAAATTATTTCATCTGTATAAATAATACTACTTCTACTCAGGCTAAGTACTTCGAAAGGATGAGTTTCATCTAAGAGAACCAAATTTTTCTTAGAATAAACAGATTTGAGATATTCTTCAATATGAATCAGTTCCTTAACATTAAAATTAGCTACATTGGTCATATGTTTCTGTGATATGGATATTGTGCTTTGGATCAGTCCGAGGTAATCAGAGATTTCTCGTAGAGAAATAAGTAGTCTAAAAATTAAAGTTTCATACTCGTATTCATAAATTGCTTTCTTGACAGTTTCTGATAGCGATTGTACATTATTTTGAATGAGTTTCATGTTTCTCTCAAATTTTTGTGAAATGAGCTGAGCGAATGCTTTTTGATTGTTAATAGCCACTATGAGTTCGTTCTCTTTGTCTCTTAATGATATAAATTTATCGTTGATTTCTGTAAGATCGTCCTGATCTAAGTTACCCGTCACATACCTTATAATGCTTCCCAATCCGTTAATAATAGCTCGACGTTTCCTACTATATGAATGGTAAGGCGATAATTTTGAATATTCTGCTTTTACGTTAATGATATTTTTATACAAGTCCTCTAGTACCGGTTTAAGATTTGTATCGTCAGAATAGTTTATTAAGGCTCTATAACTAACTTCTACCTTATTAATAACATCAGCTATTAAGCTGAGATTATGACTAAAAATAAACGTATGATAATGGCTTATCAGTTTCGCATCACCTATTGGTTCCGAATAGAAACCATTATTAGTTGGAACTTGATGAAGCCTCAGCTGTAGACTCTGCGACCATAGAGTTGTCAGTAACAAGATCACACACTGAAAATCCATGAAAGGCGCGGTTTTCTGTCTTCTTCTTTTTCTCTGTTTCGGCTCCACTAGCTTCTACAGTAGACTGGCTGTACTGCTACAGTTGCTGCACACCCTCCTAGTAGTGCCGGACTTACTACTAACTTTTTGGGAGTTCTGGAACTTCAGGCCGTGGCCCAGTGCTAATGGTCCTCAGTACCTTCACTCGGTTGCTTATTACTGGCTAGGATCCCTCCAAGAACATTGAAAGTTCGCGTGCCTTTTCGTTTAACTGGTGATTTCGGCTTGCCGATAATCTGCTCGATTGCCTCGAATTCGGACGCCGAAGGAACACGTTTCACGTTTCGCGACACGCTGAGGGATCCCGGTTGAGCCCCCAGTTAAATTACTGATACCGAGATTGATGTTTTTAAAAAAACTTTATTTCCAAAATCGGTACAGAGTGACTTCTAGAGAAACCTTGTCACGTAGGTACGTAAAACAAGACGGTCAAACCAAAAGTGACGAGATTTCCTAACATATGAATCTAGCATGGTATACAAGAAATATGATATGATAAAGAAAACGATGTTAACATGAGAACTAGCAAGGCGCGAGATAACATTCTTGAGCGCCGCGTCATTGCTCGTGAGAAATCAAGTGCCTACTAAGTAAATTATAATTTTATATAATGTACAGGGTGAGCATGGACATAACTTGTATATATATGTATATATATATAACGTGAGCAGTAGTCATTGCCAAAGCCAACGACCAGTTGGGCACAAAATACAATTAATTGTTAATTAGGAAATCGGCAAATTTTTAGGGTTAAGTTGACTCTTTTGACGATAAAATCAAACTTTCGGCATTCTCTATGGAGCCTTCATTAGGATTTCGTCGCTGAGATTGCAGCCACAAGGCGTTTCAAAACGAACGTAGTAACAAGTTCTATCTTCTCTACGTTCGTTTTGAAACACCTTGTGGCTGCAACCTCAACGACGAAATTCTGATGAAGGCACCATAGAGAATGCCGAAAGCTTGATTTTATCGTCAAAAGAGTCAACTTAAGCCTAATTGGCCAATATAACAATTAACAATTAATTGTATATATATATATAACATTGAATCTAATGTTTTTATAAGAATCATAATAATATGGAGATATTATTTGTATATTTACGAACAGAAAATTGCATTTTTAACGAGTTTCTTAGACACAAGATTTAAAACAGATTAAAGAAGCACCTAACTATTTAACCATATAATTATAACTTTTCGTAAATTTACGGGAATAAATGCTAGAATACAAGCAAAGGTAAACAACACAAATGTTGCCTCTTAATGGAGGCACAATTCAAAACGTTGACGATCTCTCGTATTGTCGCCACTGTCCCTGTAAAGCCACCGTATTGTACTCGTATAGTAGACAGGACTTACTTACCCCACTTGCAGACCTAAACGTGCTAACTGTACCTCTGACTTGCGAACTGAGATACAGTCCAACCAGATTCTAGTGTTATATGGCCCTTCGCGCTGCCTTATTTCGATAAACCTTCGACAAGCCACACACATACCCATTTGATGTGTTATATTCTAAGGCAAAGCTATAAGACCCTACGCAACTGTTTTTGTATAAAGTTATAGTTTAACAGTATCAACGTAGAAATCTTATTCCGTTAGATCACCTACAATAAACGAGAAATAAAATCGACGACGTCAACCAAACACCAAACGTATAGTTCAAAGATGTCGTAGTTAGCTTTCCAGTATGTAATGTAACATATTACTAAATCGTATCAGGAAAATTGAAACAAAAAAATACTATTAAAAAAGTCGATATCAAATTGCAAAATGAGGGGAGATTAAATTTAATATACATACTAGTTCAAAACTCTTATGTTTATATATACATATATCATGAATATTCAAAAGTAGTTCATTTCCACGCACAAGAATTCATTATTCTGCGGGTACAGCAGTTTATTTACGTATACGTATGTTAGCTTTAGTTTGTACAACACGTGAAGAATTTTATTATTATTATTATTATAAAATGGTTGCAGACAATGCCGTACTCAGTTTACTTATGTGAGATAAATAATTATTGCCCCCTTATCGAGATACAGGGTCGGTATTAATTTGGAAAAAACATTTTTCGGGGTGGATAATATTGTACAATTTAAATTTTCTATGTGAAGTAAGAAAACAACTGTTACATTGTGGAGTAAAGTATTTATTTAGTCTTGCGAAAGCTGTCTCTCC